ACACGACCAAGCACAACCTTGCCGTCATGGTGAAACGTCACTTGCCCGGTCCTCCTCTTGCGACAAGTTCCCATCCTGCAGACTAGCGTCGACGTTCTCGGAGATCCGCCGGCCAGCAGCTTTCAAAGCGCTGCGTGCGAATTACTCAATCGCCCGCGCTCGTCATCTCGATTTTCAAGTCATCACAGACCGTTACGTTTTAACCCATGGCTCTAAACATCCGCACATGCCTTCCTCGCCATTCAAGTTGACCGGACTTGCGCGCTGACTCCCAACCTCGTCGATCGCTCCGACCGATCGACTTCACGGCACAGCTCCTGAGATGTGCCACGAAACACTCTCATGCGTACAAACGTTAACGGTTGTCTATGTCTCAACCCATCATGCCAAACATCCCACATTCCCGCTTGTCTTCATTGCCGTTCAACTCGACCGTCCTTGCACACTGGCTTTCAACCTCGTCGATCACTCCGACCGATCAAGTTCCCAGCAAAACTCTCGAGGCGTTCCACGGCACACTCCCCATTGCTTTGCAACTTACTCGAACTCCATCCTACGTTGCGCACGTTGAAACATGAAGTCCCGAGTCGGGCTTCTTCGGACCACTCGCCGCTCGATTTTGGCCTCGGACCGTGACGGTCCTTCGCATTCTCAATCCAACTCGGCGACTCGCTCGACTGGCTTTATTCGTGCGATCACCATCCCACCTCTGCAAGATGCACGTTCGTACCCGTTTCAGCAGCCCTGGTCATGCGGTCATGGACCGCGATCAGCATCGCATGGTGCTCCATCTCCTCGCGCTCCGCTTTGCTTCTTGCACTCACCTCGCTTGGTAGCGACGAACTCGTTTGGCAGTCACAAAGCGAGCAAACGTCCGGAAGGTCAGTGAGTGCCTTTAACCCGAAGGCTTTCCCTTCCTCCACACCGCGTGTTGCCCGTATGTGCACTCTTGCTTATGTGTCACTCTTCTTTCGCTCCACCAGGTCTCAGAATCCGGCCTGCGCTTAACTCGACTCTTTATACTCCGACTCGCTACAAACCGTTTCTCGCTCTCATGGACGAATGATCGTCGACTCTTCCAATTGAGGATCCAGACTTCTTCGGCGGGACTTGCTCTGCTCGACTTTGATCTCCCCTCAATCGGCCCTGACCTCAAAATTCAACTCGGTGCGAGAGATTCGAGGAGCGTGCAAGCTCTCAACTTTGCCGCCGCTGCCTCCGCCACCCAAGACTCGATATCCGCCAATCCCTCGCACCACTCGACACATTCGTCTTTTACTCTCAGTGCACAAACACACGACGACGCAACATCTTGCCGTCACGTTGAAACGTCACTTGGCCGGTACATGCGGCTCGACTTTACTCGACCCGGCACTTGAAGTGTCAACCCGAGCCGGCTGAGGCAAGCGCGGAACCTATTCAGCAACTGCAGCACCATCAACATCGCCAATCGGCTTTCAACGAGTCGATAACGAGCTCGAAGGTACCTACATTTGCGTCCGGGCTATGTCAATTGCTCACTTGAGCCATCGCGACCGGAACTGCTCGACCTCGGACGACTCGCTCAGACCGCCCACAGTGAGCTGTTTCGATCTGAGCTCTCGCTTGCGACTTGCACCCCTTGCTGATGAGACGAAGATATGCCGTGTCACTGCGCAGTGTAGATTGTTGGTTACGAACAACCCGGAATGGGAGCGCTTCCTCGAATGGAGCTTCGCCCCGATTCGCTCACACGCTCGCACGGCCCACATCCGAATTCATTCATTACCATTCCTCGGTTTCTCTTGCGACAAGTCTCCAGCACGCAGACCAGTTTCGGCCTTCTCGCCACGGAGATTCGCCGGGGATCCTTGCTCGCCCAGCGGCTTTCGAGCCGCCGCGAACGAATTGCTCAATCGCCCGCCTTCGTCATCCAGCTTGTCAAGGCATCCCAGATCGTCTACGTTTCACCCCATGGCACCTCAACATCCCACATTCCCGCTCTCCTTGCCGTTCAAGTTGACCGGACTTGCACGCTGACACGCTACTTCGTTGATCGCACCGACCAATCGACTTGCTGGCAAAGCTCTCAAGATTTCACACCGAACACCTCCTCATCCGTTCACATCTTACTCGAACACCGTCTTAGGTTGCGCACGTTGGAATCAGACAGCCAGGACTCGGGCATCTCCGGACCACTCGGCGCTCGAATTCGGCCTCGGACCGTGACGGTCCTTTGCATTCTCAATCCAACTCGGCGACTTGCTCGACTAGCTCTATTCGTGCGATCACCATCCCACCTCTGCGACATGCACGTTCGTACCCGCTTTAGCAGCCCTGGTCATGCGGTCATGGACCGCGATCAGCGACGCACGGTGTTCCATCTCCCCTCGCTTCGCTTCTTCATGCATTCACCTCGCTGGGTGTAAACGAACTCGTTTGGCAGTCACAAAGCGAGCACACGTCCGAAAGGTCAGTGCATGCCATCAACTTAAGAGCCTTCCCTTCCTCCACACCTTGTTTTGCAAGTAGGTGCACTCTTGCTTATGTTTGACTTTTCTTTCGCTCTCAGATTCCAGCCTGCGCCTAGCTCGACTCTTCAGACTCCAACTCGCTCGAAACCGTTTCTCGCTCTCATGGATGAATGATCGTCGACTCTTTCCAATTGAGGATCCAGACTTTTTCGGCGAGACCTGCTTTGCTCGACTTCGATCTCCTCTCAATCGCCCCCGACCTCAAAACTCAACTCGGTGGGACAGATCCCTTGTCGAGGAGCATGCAAGCTCTCGTCTTTGCCGCTGCTGCTTCCGCCACCCAAGACTCGACAATTGCCGATCACCTTGTGTGAGGAGGCTTCGTCAACCATGCGAACTCTTCTGGGCGACCTAGCGTCGTGCGCGCTCGCCTTGACATTGAGAACGAAGGACCACCTTGACTCTTTGGTCAACTGCTCGAGCGACGTTTGCTCCGCTCGAGCGACGTTTGCTCCTTTCACTTCTTTCCCTGCATTTCTGGGGTACGAATAATTGAGGATGTGCTCTTTGATGCAATACCAGGTGGTCTTGAGCTCATATGTGCATGTCTGAGAACCTTTGGATCTTCTTGCCCCATTCTTGCCCCATTCTTGCCGGGTTTTCCTGCGGCCTCGGACATGGTTCTGCCGCAAAGACCTCTATGGTATGTTCTTGTATCAAATCCGACATGAACTCTGGACTGCCATCTGCTGAACGCAAGCAAAACTGTGTCGGAGTATTTCAAAGCGACTCACTGGATCGATCGTATTTGTCGCTCATGCGTATGCGTCGCCCATGGTGACGGAGCTGCAGTGACATGCCGCGGTCCGTTTAGAGTGGGCTTCAACTTTGCAATCGGATCCGTAGCCTGTGTCCTATAGACTTTTTACGACTGTAGCAAGTAATGTGTGAAGAACAGCTGCTTGCAGAGGTATGCCGTGATTCGACAGCGAGGGGCTTCCTCGACTTTCACGCAAAGTCAAACTTCTGCGACCCGCATCCCTCACCGACGATCATGACTGAAAGTATGCTTTGACACCGCAAAGCACCGCATGGATTCTTCCGTCAAGATTGAAAAAATTCATTAAGAAAGTCCTCCTTCGAGTGTCGAAGATCACTGTCCGATCGACCCGCGAAAACTAAAGGGGCCGAGTTTGCGCGATCGAGAGCCGACCTCCTTGCGCGACTTTTCAACTCCAAATCAGCACTCGAAAGTGACTCCAACACAGTGACCACCATGTGATAGATCTCTCAAAAGTATTCATGTAGCTTGCAACATGCTTCGATGCGAGGTATATGGCTTGCAGCAATGACCTGTTGAATGGACCACATCGACCTAGATCATGTGTGCTGCGGAATCACTAAGTTGGTTTCGTGATCTCGAAGACCGGTCCCGATGAAAATACTGCCTCAACAGGACCGCAATCTAGCACTGCACGCGTATGGGCAACTATATTCAAATTTTTGAGTGTTCTGAGAATGAGAAACCTCTATCTGCCGGATGGGGCTGCGAGAATGAGTCGATTACTCCTTACTTGTCTCTCGGCTCGGCGACCATCGAGCCTTGTTACCGACAGTGCTAACTGGAACTGGAACTGGAACTGGAACTGGACGATCTTCTCCGCGCCATGACCATATCCCTTTATTATTTCAAACGAATGGTTCTGTACCGAGAAAAAGTCGTCAGATCGACCTAACAGAGCATTGCGATCATCGTCGAAAGCGACCGAACTTGTCCGCAAACGAAGTGCCGGCCGCAGTGAGTTTTCACCGACGATCTGTTGGAGAAAGCCAGCTCTCAAACTGTATCCAGGCCGCCAGATACCACTTGAGAGCTCATCTCATCTCTTCATGCATTTCACAGCATTGCGGTCTGCGAGAGACTGCCAGTGAGATGCGCTTCCAGGATACGCCCGCGGTTCTCATCTCCCATCTCATCTCGACTCCGAGTAATCGGACCAACGATCTGCTCCCAGATCAGATGTGTTTGCCCTCAAACATTCCGACGCACCTCGCACATATTTTGGGAATAGCCTTTGAGTAAAAGATTGATGAGTGTACGAGTGTGCTCAGTGACCTGGACGAGTCGAGGGCTTTTATGCCGCGGACGCCGGCGGCCGACTCGCCCGGGCCCTCGCACCGAGTTCGGAGGTACTCGTTCTCTCTAGCGTTGAAGTTCCCTCGCATCCCTGTTCGATCTTCGAGTCTTGAAGTGCAACAGGTCGACTGGACTCGAGCAAATCGGAGACCGTCGGATCTCTCGGCCGAGCGCGCCTAACAAGCTTTCCGTCGCCGAGTCCTGCCTGAGTTCAGCCGAGTTCAGCCGAGTTCAGCCGAGTTAGGCCGAGTTCGGTCAGCCAACGACTCAACTTCAGAGTCGCGCGCGCCAACGCTCCTTTCCTTCTCCCCACTCACTCGCACCACGCGCACCACTTGGCCCGCCTCGACTCGACTCGGCTCTGATCCCACTACACTACAAAGCTCTCCCCACATCGCCCAATCGGCAAGATGCAGCTCAGCCACTCTCGACGGACGCTGGACGTGTCCGTTTGTGCCGGCTGATGCGGGCACGGTGCGACGTCGCACGACACGACGATCAACAACTCCGACATCGTCGTCTTCGGCACGATACGATGGGCAGATCGATACGAGAGGGCGTGCTCACTTTCAGCAGCGTCCTAACTACGTCGATGCATCGCTCGAGCGTCCTCGGTCGGACACGTGTTCGGTCACCCAATCGCCTCGATCGCCCCGTTCGCCCTCTCGCCACTCGACCGATGGGTGTGGTGAGTACTTCACTCAGATACTTTCCAGCTCACACCCATCCGCTCACCTCATGTTTGTCTATGCTGCTCATCACTCTAGTTGAGGTCGCGCGTTGGCCGACTCGCTGGCATCCGAGCTTCGCCCCACACCGCTCTGTGACTTGTACGACCATACTCTGCGATCACAATGCCACGTCCTCATCAGTAACATCAACATGATTGTCCCCCTTCCTGAGGCCTCGCATCGATGTACACATCACTCGACCCACATTGCCGCACTGTAGACCGGTGACGATCACCTCCGCCACCCCCACATCGTTCACTCGCGTCGTCAACGTCGACCGATCGCTCGAGTGCAATCACTCGCTGTCACATCGGGTCTCTTCGAAGAGCCTCATCGACGCGGGAAGCTCGGAATCTTTTGGAACATCTGTTGCTCGACTCGGCGACCATTTGATCGATGCCCGTCCGACGCTTCGCACCCATCATCGACCCTCGGTCCGATCGACCGATCAACCGACCGAACTGACAAACCTCTTCCGCCCGATCTCGCCCCCGTCCGTGCTCATCCCATCACCACGACATGCGAAGTAACAACTCGTTTGCCCCTCGCGATGGCTTCCTCGACCGCCTCAACCGTCGACCTTCCACCGTACTCGTGCTCGATCGCCATAGACTCATTGTTATCAACTGACCTGACCTACTCATCATGAACGCCGACCCCACGATCGCCCCATTCTCGAATCCTATGGCAATTCACCTATCGATACGATTCACCTCACCTCATCCTGTTCTGTGTCGCCGTACCCAGCTCGACACTATCCCGTGATCTTCGCATCCACACCGGCGGGTCAGCTCGATCAATCAGGACCCCAGTCTGGTATGCTCTCCTCTCCAACCCGGGTCTCCATCGTCTCGAGTCCCTTCAATACTGACGCGTTTACAAACACTCATCTGTGTTTCACAGCATTGCCCCGACATTTTTGGCGCGCTAGATCCGACTCGCACGTCGCCCATCCTCAGCTTCGCACCGACTTGCTCAAACATCGCCCCCACCCCATGCCACGAGCTTGTGATTCAATACTACGATCGCCAATACGACTTCGCTCGACCCGAGTTCTGTCATTTTCTTGGGATCAGCTTGACTCTTCGGCGCTCTTTTTGGCTGGCTCGGCACTCGAGCCATTTCATCGAGCAGCTTCGTCTCGGCTCGAACCGTTCGGCACTCCGATGATCAGCTGGACCCGTCCATCTCTCAGGCAACTTGCTTCGGTTATACCGAAGCGACGATCAAGCACTACTCGATGGACGATCAAGCACCAACTGACATGGGTCCGCTTCGATGTGCCCACCCTGCCCGAATCGCCACTCCAACTCGCTCGGTCGACTCGAGCTCTAACTCGACAATACTTCGAACATCGACAGCCCTTTTTTTCTGACAGCCGTCACGACCGGACCACGTGCTCGACCACCGACGACGGGCTCAGAACGCCCACAGTGGGGCATTGGATCGGAGGGGGGGGTTCTTAATTCGACCGGACTTGCACGCTGACTCTCAACCTCGTCGATCGCTCCGTCCGATCGACTTCACGGCAAAGCTCCCGAGATGTGCCACGGAACACCTGCTCATTGCTTCACATCTTACTCGAACTCCATCTTACGTTGCGCACGTCGAAGCATAAAGTCCCGACTCGGGCTTCTCCGGACCACTCGGAGCTCGATTTCGGCATCGGACCGTGACGATCCTTGGCACTCTCAATCGATTTGAAAGATTGGCTCGACCAGCTTGATACGGGCGACCACCATCCCACCTCTGCAAGCTGCACGTTCGTACACGCTTCAGCAATCCTGGTCATGCGGTCATGGACTGCGATCGGCGTCGCATGGTGCTCCATCTCTCGCTTCGCATCCTACACTCATCTCGCTGGGTGTAAACGAACTCGTTTGGCAGTCACAAAGCGAGCAAACATCTAAATGGTGCCTTCCCTTCCTCCGCACCTTGTGTTGGAAGTATGCGCACTCTTGCTCATGTTTGACTCTTGATCTGCTCCACCAGGTCTCAGATTCCCGCCTGCGCTCAACTCGACTCGCTCGCAACCGTTCCCAGTACGTCTCCCGGAAGAATGATCGTCCGCTGTTTCCCATTGGGGATCGACACCTTGTGGCGAAGCTTGCTTTGCTCGACCTCGATCTCCTCTCCCTCGGCCCTGACCTCAAAACTCAACTCGTGCGACAGATCACTCGTCGAGGAGCGTGCAAGCTCTCATCTTTGCCGCTGCTGCCTCCGCCATCCAAAACTCGAGATTCGCCGATCGCTCGCACCACTCGACTCGACTCGTCTTTTCCTCTCAGTGCGCGAACACACGACGTCGCAACATCTTGCCGTCACGTTGAAACGTCACTTGCCCGGTACGAGCGGCTCGACCTTACTCGACCCGGCACTTGACGGGTCACCTGGAGCCGGCTGAGGCAAGCGACGACGCGCCCTTCAGCAACTGCAACACCCTCATCATCGCCAATCGGCCTTCAACGACTCGATACCGAGCTCCAAGGTACCTACAGTTACATCCGGGCTACGTCGATTGCTCACTTGAGCCATCGCGACTGGAACTGCTCGACCTCGGACGACTCGCTCAGACCGCCCCCAGTGAGCTGTTTGATCCGAGGCTTCGCTTGCAACTTGCACCCCTTGCTGATGGGATCAATATATGCCGTGTCACTGCGCAGCGTGGATTGTTGGTTACCGACGACCCGGAATGGGAGCGCTCACTCGAATGGAGCTTCGCACCGATTTGCTCGCACGCTCGCACGGCCGACATCCGCTCCGCGCTGATGCATTACCATCTCTCGCTTTCTCTTGCGACAAGGTCCCAGCACGCAGACTAGTTTCGGCCTTCTCGCCACGGAGATTCGCCAGGGATCCTTGCTCGCCCAGCGGTTTCGAACGAATTGCTCAATCGCCGGCCTTCGTCATCCAGCTTGTCAAGGCAGCCCAGATCGTCTACGTTTCACACCATGGCACCTCGACATCCCACATTCCCGCTTTCCTTGCCGTTCAAGTTGACCGGACTGGCACGCTGACTTGCTACCTCGTCGATCGCACCGACCAATCGATTTGCTGGCCCAGCTCTCAAGATTTCCCACCGAACACCTCCTCATCCGTTCACATCTTACTCGAAGACCCAAGTTACTCGAACACCGTTCTACGTTGCGCACGTTGATTCAGACAGCCAGGACTCGGGCATCTTTGGACCACTCGGCGCTCGAATTCGGCGTCGGACTTTGACAATACTTCGCACTCTCAATCGACCTCGGCGATTCGCTCGACCAGCTGGACATGTGCGACCACCATCCAACCTCTGGAACTTTTACGTTCTTACAGACCCTGGTCATGCGTTTATGGACTGCAATCAGTGTCGCACAGTGCTCCTTCCCTCTCGCCTCGCTTGTTCCTGCACCCACCTCGCATGTGTCGACGAAGTTGTGTAGCAGTCACTAAGCGCGCGAACGTCCGCAAGGTCAGTGCATGCCCTCAACCTGAAGTCCTTCCCTCCCTCGACATCCCGTGTTGCAAGTGTGCACTATCGCTCATGTTTGACGGTTGATTTGCTCCACCAGGTCTTGGATTTCCGCCTGCGCTCAACTCGACTTTTTGGACTCGGAACTGCTCGCAACTGTTTTCAGTCCGTCTCCCGGAGGAATGGTCGTCGACTCTTTCCAATTGAGGTTCCAGACGCTTTTGACGGGACTTGCTCTGCTCGACTTTGATCTCCTCCATCGGTCCCGACCTAAAAACTCACCTCGGTGCGACCGATCGCTCGTCGAGGAGCATGCTCTCATTTTTGCCGCTGCTGCCTCGGCCACCCAAGACTCGATATGTGCCGATGTCCTGTGCGAGGTGGCTTCTTCAACCATCCGAGCTCTTGCGGGTGACCTAGCGCCCTGCCCGCTCGCCTCGTGATTGAGAACGAAGGACCACCTTGACTCTTTGCCCAACTGCTCGAGCGACGTTTCCTCCTTGCCTGCAATTTTGACGTACCAAAGTTTTAGTATGTCCTCCTTGATGCAACACCATGTGGTCTTTGAGCTCATATGTGCGTGTCTGAGAACCTTCGGATCTTTCTGCCGGATTTTCCTGCGGCCTCCGATGTGGTGCTTCCGGGAAGGACCGAATGGAATGTGCTTGTATGGATTCCAGCACCAGAACTGGACTTCTGACTGCTGAACGCAATCGAAACTTTATATCTGAGTACGTTGCAGCGATCTCTGCGAAGTCACTGGATCGATTGTCCTCCTCGCTCACGACGACCGAGCTGATGGCATCCCGCCGTGGTCCACTCGGAGTTGGCTTCCACCCTGTGATTGCATCCCTAGCCCTCTTATATAGGCTCTTTCCGTCTGTAGCAACAGAATCGTGTGCGTAGGAAGCTGCCTGCGGGCGTATGCCGTGATTCGACGCTGAATCGTTCCTCAGCTTTCACGTAACGCCGAACCTCTGCGGCCCGCATCCGTCACCGACGATCACGACTGAGAGTATGCTTTGCCACCGCAAAGCACCCCATGGAATCATCCGTCAAGGTTTAGAAATTGAATTCAGAAGGTCCTTGCCTCGAGCGTCGGAGGATCATTGACCGATCGACCCGCGAAAAGTAAAGTAGCCGAGTTTGCGCAATCGAGAGGACCCCGGAGTCCTTGCACGACTTTTCAAGTCCTGATCAGAAGTCGAAATTGACCTCAATGCAGTGGTCAACGTGTGATAGACCTCTCAATCGAAGGGATACAACTTCTAATGGGGCAGGATTCGAGGCATATTGCCTGCAGCAGTGACCCGTTCGACCTAGATAGGTGCTGCGGCATCACTTTCGCCTTTTGATCTCGGAAAATGGTCCCGATGAAGATACTGCATCAATATTGCAATATAGCACCGCACGCGTATCGACAAGTTTTGTGGTGTATAATCGAGTGAGGAAGCATCGATCTGCAGGCTGGGGAAGTGAGACTGAGTCGATTATTCCTTTCGTGTCTCTCGGCTCGGCGACGCTCGAGCCTTTTCGCCGACAGTGCTAAGTGGACGATCTTCTCCGCGCCATCACCATATCCCTGTACTATTTCAAAGGAATGCTCTTTCACCGAAAAAGAGTCGTCAGATCGACCTCAGAGAGCAGTCTGATCATCATCGAAGGCGATCGAACTTGTCCGCAGACGAAGTACCGACCGCCTCATCTTTTCACCTGCCACGCGCTCCTGGAGACACCTTACGCTTACGCTGTGTTCACGCCGCCAGATATCACCTGAGAGCTTAAATTGTCTCTGCAAGCATCTCATACCACGGCGGTCTGCGAGAGACTAGCAGTGAGACATGCTTCCAGGACACGCCCGGCGTGACTCTGAGCCTTCTCGTCTACCATAGGCACAGGCATGGGTTAGGGTTAGGGTTAGGGTTAGGGTTAGGGTTAGGGTTAGGGTTAGGGTTAGGGTTAGGGTTAGGGTTAGGGTTAGGGTTAGGGTTAGGGTTAGGGTTAGGGTT